CTTTCCTTTCCTTTCCTTTCCTTTCCTTTCCTTTCCTTTCCTTTCCTGTCCTGTCCTGTCCTGTCCTGTCCTGTCCTGCCCTGCCCTGTCCTGTCCTGTCCTGTCCTTTCCAGTCCTGTCCTTTCCTTTCCTTCTTTCCTTTCCTGTCCTGTCCTGTCCTTGTCAATCAAGGTTAAGTGCTTGCCCTGGGTCACACAACTAGTAAGTGTCAAGTATCTGAGGGCAGATTTGAACTCAGGTCTGTCTGACTCCAGGTCCAGTGCTCTATGTACTGTGTCATGTAACTGCTATTTAGCATGTTATTTAACCAACTGATCAAAATTTACAATAAGGTGGATTATAATATCCTGTTATGCAACAGTGTTTCTTAAATCTATTTTAGAACCTCCTACAGTTATACCTTCTTACACCTATTTTCCCCTGGCTCAAAAACACTTTTTTTTTAATTTAAAAGCATTTTTATTAATTAATCAATTTTTAGTTTTCAACATTCACTTCACCAAGATTTTGAGTTCCAGATTTTCTCTCCATCTCTGATTGCATGCATTCTATTAACCCTTCCCCCAATCTGTCCTCCCTTCTATCACCCCTCCCCCTTTTATTTTCCTGTAGGGCAAGATAGATTTCTATACCCCATTGCTGTATATCTTATTTCCCAGTTGCATGTAAAAACAATTTTTAACATTTGTTTTTAAAATTTTGGGTTCCAAATTCTCTCACTTTCTCCCTCCCCACCCACCCTCATTAGAGAAGGCAGACAATTCGATACAGGTTATACATGTATAATCATGTAAAACACTTCCCTAATAGTCATGTTGTGACAGACTAACTATATTTCCCTCCATCCTATCCCACCCCCTGTTTATTCTGTTCTCTGCTTTAACCCTGTCCCTCCTCAAAAGTTTTTCCTTCTGATTACCCTCTATCCCAGTCTGCCCTCCCATCATGTTCCCTTCCTTTATCCCTTTCCCCCCTATTTTCCTGTAGAATAAGATAGATTTCCTTACCCAATTGAATGTGTATATTATTCCCTCCTTAAGCCATAACTGATGAGAGTAAAGTTTACTCATTCCCTCTTACATCCCCTCTCTTCCCTTCCACTGTAAAAGCTTTTTCTTGCTTCTTTTTTGTGAGATAATTTACCCCATTCTTCCTCTCGCAGTACATTTCTCTCTCACACCTTAATTTTATTTTTTAGATATCATCCCTTCATATTCAACTCACTCTGTGCCCTGTCTACATATATTATTAATTATAATAATTATTTGTTACATCACCATAATAATTATTATTAATATATAATATATTATTATATATTCCCTCTAATTACCCTAATACTGAGAAAGGTCTCATGAGTGATAAATATCATCGTTTCATGTAGGAATGTAAACAGTTCAACTTTAATAAGTCCCTTTTGATTTCTCTTTCCTGTTTGTTTCATGCTTGGCCTTTTTCATGCTTCTCTTAGAGTCTTGTATTTGAAAGTCAAATTTTCTCTTCAGCTCTGGTCTTTTCATCAAGAATTCTTGAAAGTCCTCTCTTTCATTGAATGCCCATTTTTTCCCCCTGAAGGATTATACTCAGTTTTGCTGGGTAGGTGATTTTTGGTTTTAATTCTAGCTTCTTTGACCTCCAGAATATCATATTCCAAGCCCTCTGATCGCTTAATGTAGAAGCTGCTAAATCTTGTGTTATCCTGATGGTGTTTCCATAATACTTGAATTGTTCCTTTTTGGCTGCTTGCAATATTTTATCCTTGACCTGGGAACTCTGGAATTTGGCTATAATATTCCTAGGTATTTTCCTTTTGGGATCTCTTTCAGGAGGTGATCAGTAGATTCTTTCAATTTCCTTTTTACGCTCTGGTTCTAGAGTATGAGGACAGTTTTTCTTGATAATTTCTTTCTTTCTTTTTTTTCCTTGATAATTTATTGAAATGTGATGTCTAGGCTCTTTTTTTTTTTTCCTGAGACAGTGAGGTTAAGTGACTTGCCCAGGGTCACACAGTTAGTGAGTATCATGTCTGAGGCCCGATTTGAACTCAGGTACTCTGACTCAAGGGCTGGTGCTCTATCCACCGTGCAATCTAGCTGCCCCCTATGCTCTTTTTTTGATCATGGCTTTCATGTAGTTTGATAATTTTTTAATTATCTCTCCTGCATCTATTTTCCAGGTCAGTTGTTTTTCCAATCAGATATTTCACATTGTCTTCTATTTTTTTCATTCTTTTGTTTCTTGATTTCTCACAAAATCATTAGCTTCTCTTTGCTCCATTCTAATTTCTAAGGAATTATTTTCTTCAGTGAGCTTTTGGACATCCTTTTCCATTTGGACATCCTTTTCCACATCCAATTCTGCTTTTTAAGGCATTCTTCTCCTTGTTGGCTTTTGGGACCTTTTTTGCCATTTGGGTTAGTCTGTTTTTAAGGTGCTATTTTCTTCAGTATTTTTTGGGGGTCTCCTTTAGCAAGCTCTTGACTTGTTTTTCATTATTTTCTTGCATCACTCTTATTTCTCTTCCCAATTTTTCCTCTACTTCTCTTATTTAATTTTCAAAATCCCTTTTGAGCTCTTTCATGGCCTGAGACCAATTCACATTTTTCTTGGAGGCTTTGGAGATAGGAGCTTTGACTTTGTTGCCTTCTCCTGGTTGTATGTTTTGATCTTCTTTGTCACCAAAGTAAGATTCTATAGTCTGAGTATTTTTCTGCTATTTGCTCATGTTCCCAGCCAATTACTTGTTTTGAACTCTTTGTTAAGGTAGGGCTCTGCTTCCAGTATGGAAGATGTACTGTCCCAAGCTTCAGGAGTTTTGTGCAGCTATTTTCAGAGATACTTCTAGGACCTGTAAATTTTCAGTTCTTCCAAGGTGGTATGATCAAAGGAGAGGTGTTTACTCCTCTCCTATGCTTTGGTCTGTGAATGACTATAAGCACTCTTTTCTGCCTTGGAACTGTGAGGAGGATTCCCTCTCCACTGCCGCCACAAGCTCAGCTACGCCAGTGGTCCTCCTCACCCCAAAAACCAAATACACTTTTTGTTCTGGAAAATATACTGTTCAGTGCATCAAACAGGTGTTTTTGTTTTGTTTTTGATGTAGGATAAGAAATGGGTTCTCAATCATGAAGATGTCACATTGGGAGAATTACTAGGCAAGGTAAGCAATTAAATGTGTTAACTTTTTAAAATTCAGTTCGTTTGAATTTCATATTGTTTATAAAGTCTTAAGATTTCTGTTTTTTCTTCAAAATTGTTTTTTTCTTATGTCCTAATATTCAGTAAAGTATGTTTGAAACTAATTTATGAAAGCTTAGTGCCACACGTAGTGATATATGTGTATATGTGTGTATGTATACATACAGTACACTTTTGCTATATTTGCCTCTTAAAACAACTGTGTTGAAACTGCGGAATAACTTAAAGTTTCTTAATGGCTTAAAAATACCCTATATAATTTTTTTTAAAGAAACACAAGTAAAAAGATGTTTTATTACAAAATAACAAATGTATGTCTTTAAATTGGTGGCCTTATAAAGGAAATGAAATAATGAAAGATTTTACATAGAATAGGATATGTTTAAACAAATTGTTGACTTTACTCTTTCTTTGGGTTATATGCCAGAAATAGTTCAAGAAAAATTAAATATTAATTCTGTATTGTATCAGATTAGATCACTAAATCGGATAAAGGTTTTAAATATAATCTCAAGAAACAGTTTTTGTGTACAGTGTACATGTATAAGTGTTTAGGGGGCCAGTCTCAAAGTCTGGAGGACCTCGATTCGAGTAATATGTCTGGTACATACACCTTTGTGGCCCTGGTTAAGTTTCTTAATGCTACTGTCACCTCTAAGACTATAAGTTGCAGAACAGTGGTAGCCTTATAGAGGGAATTACCTTAATGGGATTTTCCTACATCAATGAAATCACATCTGGACCTTTAATACAAAGTATATGAATAGATAAGTATATGCAACAATGCACTGTTTTAACATAGCTTGTTGTTACACAGATTTAGATAGAATACTAGTCAAACCACATTTATCAGAATATAGAAATTGCATGTAATAAAAGACAATTATCTGATTAGCCTATTCCTTTTCCCCATAACTGATTTTATAAGGGAGTTCTGAAGTATATGTTATAGCTCAGTAAGAAATGGAAGAAAAACTAGTGAGAATGGAAGAAAACAAATGCAAATTAAATAGTCTTTTGTTTATACTTCAATTATAATGTTTAAATGTTAGTTTATTCAAAAGACCAATTTATACCTTTATTAGAGGTGTTTTCATACAGAAGATTTGATTGATCTTGACTTAATGATGTAGAATTCAGGACAGTATAAAATCTGAACGTTTGTGAAAGGCAAACAATTTCAATTAATGTCTTGTAATTATGATATAATATGTAAGATAAAGAGATTAATAATATGTGGCAAATTAGCTATTTGGGGGTGTATAAATCTTTATGAAATTACTCGTGATGCCTGGCTTATAGTAGGTGCTAATTAAGTGCTTGTTAAATGATACTGGTAAAATTATTGTCAAAATGTTTTCTCAATATATAAGCTATTTGACAAATTCACAAAATTTAATAAATTTTCATTGTACACACCAATAACCTTATCTGTTATTGATGTAATAGTATTGATTTAATGTGTAAACTTAGAAAATTTGGAGAACGCCAAACTAAAGAGTAGTAGTAGGTGTTTGTTTTCTATGTCTTAATCATTCTGCATAGAAACATCCATTCATTTTCTTCAGATCAGAAAAAAGTATATCTTGTCTGTGAATCAAAAGATCCCACTGAAAATCTAGAGTAATAAAGGAATCAAAATGAAAAAATTAATAAATTATCATAATACAAGTAAAGCAGTTGTTGAACAAGAAAAGAGTGTGAGGCAAGCTCAAATATTCAGTAGTAGGGAAATTTTTCTTTTCAATTAAAGAAAAACCCTCTAACAATTCTTATATTTAGTCATCTTATTTTTTTTAAATGCTATTTTGGGAGGTAAAAATAAAATTGAACTCCTTAGAAAAAATTTCAAAAACTTAATAGCACCAGGAGGAGTAGAATATACCAATTTTAATAAATTTAATTATCCTTCTTTGAAAGACTACATCCTCCAAAAAGACTGTATGACAGTTGATAAATCATTCCATAAGAAATTCTTCAAATAGAAGAAAATTAACCACTTCATAATGATTGTCAGTGAGTAGAAAATAGAATTATCAAGTGAACAGCATCTTTCTTGGAATTATAGTAAATTGGTTATTATAAAATTCACTTATTACAATTCATTCCCACCCAAATCAGGATATAGACCTGATTTGACTACGAATTATTGGTTATGTCACTCCTCAGCTCAGAAACCACCAGTGACTGTATTGCATATTCAGAAAGTCCAAACTCCTTTAACTTTTCATTAAAGACACATTTTAGACTCCAAAGGACCTTTTCAGCTCTATCTCCTTTATTCCTGTCACATATCCCTGGCTCTTAACTACACCACCTTCCATTCATGAAACATACCTTGTCCTTTCTTATTTCTTCACCTGTGACTTATACCTCTTCCTGATATTCACCTTTCTTATGGAGTTTTCAGAATCACAGATATTGTCAGTCAACCAGCAAGCATTTATTAAGTACCTACTATGTGCCAGGCATTGTACTAAACAAAGAAAGGCAAAGAACAGTGCCTATTCTCAATTGGCTTACAAGGGGAAAGATAAATGGAGATAATTATGAAAAGGAAGATACTAACAATAAGAGAGTTTGGGAAAGGCTTTTTGTAGAATATGATATTTCATCTGAGACTGGAATGAAACCAGGAAAGGTAAGAGACAGAGATAAGTAGAGAGAGATTTCCAGGCTTAAGGGAAAACTAGTGAAAATGCCCAGAGTTTAGAGATGGGGAATATCTTCACACAAGATATTCCCCATCATGCATCCCCCCATAGTGCATATCCCCATGCATCAAAGCATAAGTGGAAAGTAGGAAGTATGTAAGAAGACTTGAAAGGTAGGAAGGGGGTAGGTTATGAAAAGATTTAAAAACCAAACAGAAGATTTTATAATTGATCATGGAGGTAATAGGGAGCCATTGGAGCTATAGTATGTAATATAGTATGAACAGTGTGATGTGATTAGACCTTAGCTTCAAGATCAGTTTGGCAGCTAAATGGAGGAAGGACTGGATAGGCAGCAAGCAAGCTATTGCAATAGTCCTAGCACATGGTGATGAGGGCCTGCATCAGGGTGGCCACAATAAGAATGTTAAGAAGGTAGATTTGACAGTTCTTGGCAAAAGATTGGATGTGGGAGATAAGAAAGTGGGGAGTTGAGGATGACACCTACAGGGCAAGACTCAGTAACTGGGAGGATAGTGGCCCCCTAAATAGTAATAGGAAACTTAGGAATAGAGGAAGGCTGGATGAGGGGTAGGAGGGCAGTTTTGGACACACTGAATTAAAGATATCCACAAGACATTCAGTTCAGAATATCCAATAAGTAGTTAGAGAAAAGAGACTGAAGGTGAGCAGGGAGGTTGGGGATAGATAAGTAGATCTGAGAATCACCAGGTCAGAGATGATCATTGCATGCATCTCTTCTTTGAGAATTCTTAATACCCTTGTAGCAAAGGATCATATATTGATAATATATTGATCTAGAGCTGGAAGGGAACTCACTTGTAGACCATCCTTTAAGGATAAAAAAATCGGGGCCCAGAAAGACTGACAGGTGTGTATCCACACAAGTGGCATCAGAGGTGCGGTTTGAACTCAAGTCCCCTGACTCCTTCGTCATTCTTACTTTATCATGGTGGGGTTTAGTATATTATGGAAAGGCAAATATATTTATAAATTATACATATACATATAAAACACATTTTTTAACATTATTGTTGTTTGTCCTTCATTCTTGAAGAGGACCATGACATCAGGGATGTGAGGGAGGGCTGTGCAAAGTCACCTGCTTCACTTTCTTCACTGGAGCCATTTGGGTCCAGTGGCGATACATAGATCAGGATGACTGGAGATGTCCCTGGATGCAGCAGACCTTTTTAGCAGGTCTCAGTTTGACTGAGGCAGCACTTATTCAGTGATTAAGGCTAGGTAAGACAGATATTAATTGTACCCCTATGATAAAAAATTTGCTGCACATATACATATATATATATCATTTCACATGTATACACAGATATGTATATATAGTATAACATGTATTATATATTATACAGCATATAATATATATAATATATAGTATATGTATTCTATATCTACACATATATACAACAGCATATAAATGGAAACATACATAAATGCTAAAAATACTTTTTCTCTGTAAATCTTTAGCAATGTTAATCATCTGATAAAACATAAAAATGTAAAATTTGCAATTAAATAATATTAACTTGAAAATATTAAACAGTACTAGAAATATAAAATATGGTTACCTTGTACGAAAATCTTGAACTTATATTGATTTTTAAGGAGAATGAAAAAGTCATGAATTACAGCTAAAATTAAAACTTAGAAATCTTTATTTCATTAGTTTCAGCCTCCTCCTTACTTGCAGCTTTTATCTAGTTTCTTAAGTTCCTAGATAAATTAGACTACTCTCATCTTGTACCTTTATTTATTATTATTCCATCTCTTTACCTTTATTCACACCATTCCAATGACTTGAATAGACTCCCTCTCAGTAAGTGCCATTCTCATTTTTTTGAAAGCCCTTTACTTCCTTAAGACCTAAATCAGAAATGACCTTTCTCATGAAAACTTTCATAATCAAAAATAATCATAACCATAAATAAAAACCCTTGAAAACAGAATCTTTTTAATTCTAGTGCCTAGCAGCATGCCTTGAGCATAATAGGTACTTAATAAGTTTGTCAAATTGAATTGAAAGTTAAGTCTTACTTCAAAAGCTATTGATAATTAATCTTCAAGTAATTAAAAGTTGGTTACAGTAGATTTATGTAGTATTCTAAATGACCAGTGGTTTGATCACAGAACTTCTTAAAGTTTTTTTTGTGTCATGGGAGCCCTTTGGCAGTCTAGTGAAGTCTATGGACCCCTTGTTGATTATTTTTTAAAAATTCATGTAATAAAATTTATTGCAAAGGTTGCAAAGAAAATCAAGTATTTTGAAATAGTTATGAATTTTTTTAAAATTAAATTTACATTGGTAGAACTATGAACTATTTTGGAGAGCAATCTGGAATTATGCCCCAAAAGTTACAAAATGGTGACCTTTGACCCAGCAATACCACTATTAGGTCTGTTTCCCAATGTGATCAGGGAAAAAGAAAAAGAACCTATTTATTCTGAAATATTTACAGCAGCTCTCTTTATGGTGGCGAAAAAACTGGAAATTGAGGGGATGCTCATCAATTGGGGAATGGCTAATAAGTTGTAGTGTATGGTTGTGGTGTAATATCACTGCACAATAAGAAATGATGAGTTGTTTGATTTTAGAAAAACATAACAGCAATAGTGTTCATAGAATAATTGTGAATAATCATGTTATTCTCAGTACTATAAATACTCAAACCAACTATAAAAGACCTTTGAAGGAAGATGCTATATGCCTCCAGAGAAAAGAACTGATAAATAAAAGTATACATACTGTGGTTTTACATATATTTATAAATCTGCATCAAATGTTGGCCTTCCCTAGTGTGGGCTGGGGATGAAGGACAGGAGACAGTTCAGAACTAAAATGTAACAAAACACATAAGTAAAGAGAAAACAATTAAGTTTACAGCCCCTTAGGTGTTAAGTATTTAGAAAGAGAAGAAGAGAAGACCCAATTCAGAGCCTTGGAGGACACCTCCCCAAAATTTGTCCCTGATTTTTGACATCCTTAAATTATCTTGAGATTTTTTTCTTAATTGTATATGTGTGAATGTGTGTGCATGTATGTTCCATATACACACATTTGCATATATGGGAAATCTAGTGAAAAAATAAAAAATACTACATCCTGAGACACTTTTCCCACGTTTCAGAAATCTGGACTCAAGTCTTTAATATTTCCGTATTTTACTTATAAACTTGACTTTTTCTAATATATGTGTAATGGTGTAAGGCAATGATAAATTTTGGGGAAGTTCTTGAAGTTCTGACAAGGACAGAAAAAATTTTATATTAAATATCTGCATCAACAGCAAGCATCTATTGAATGGGTACTATTGCCATGTGCTGCCGTAAGTTCTGGCCTTTCCGAGATAACTCACTGTTTTCTTCATCTTTCTACTACTTCAGCACTTTGAAACCAATAGAACATTCAGGCATAGTAGTGAAACGAATTTGAATTAGTATTTAAAAAGTGGTTTTTCAAATAAGATTAGAGTTTGAGGAGAATGAAACTTTGGTCTTTTTTCTAAGAATTACACTTCTTGGACAAAGCTTTTTTAGTTTCCTCCTTTTCCTTTACCTGTTTTACTTTTCCTCCCCCTTTTCCTTACACTTCCAACTTGCAAGATATTAGTATAATTAGATGGCTGACGAATGGAAGCCATTCCAACCCAAATATTTAACTAAATCTAACTTTAAACCTTTGATCATGATAATAAGGGAAGTTATCTTCTTTTCCTGTATTTTTCAAAGATACATGACAATAGTTTGCTTTTAATAGTAAGTATATTTTCATTTTCAGGGTAATTTTGGTGAAGTATATAAGGGAACATTAAAGGATAAAACTGCTGTTGCTGTAAAAACGTGTAAAGAAGATCTTCCTCAGGAACTGAAAATAAAATTTTTACAAGAGGCCAAGTGAGTTCTCTAAAGTAAACCAGAATTTGTATTGATGGCATGTTGAGTAATTCATTATAATGTAAAATTTAATACACTTTGAATTGTGGTTTGCTAACGGGTCAGTGGTTTGTGAACCTAGTAATTATCAGTTTCAGAATCTGGTACTACTTCTGCAGAAATCAATAATGGTTTTGAGGTGAACTATAGCCACTAGGTGGCACAGTGGATAGAGTACTGGGCTTAGAGTCAGGAAGCCCAGAGTTCAGATTTGTTGGTCTCAGATACTTATTAACTGTGTGACCCTGGGAAAGTCATTTAACTTTGTTTGCCTCAGTTTCCTTATCTGTGAAAATGAAGGGGAGAAGGAAATGGCAAACCACTGCAATATCTTTGCCAAGAAAACCCCAAATGGGGTCACGGAGAGTCAGATTCGTCTGAACAACAACAACAACACAGAACAATGATAGTCAAATAATTCATCTGTTAAATAGCATCCAATTTGGGCTTTCCAAGTTTATCTTAAATGAATAAGGCTGTTATAATCTCATTTATACATCACTGTGTAGAGCTATACATGCTCATGTACGCATCTAAATCTCTGTACTTGTTATGTTTGTATACTCCTCATTAGAACTTAGGCATCAATTCTTTTTCCATATCTTCCTGCCTCTCATTTCTAAAAAACCATATTTCCCTTCTTCCATCTCAGAGTTCTGCCTTTTCTTTAACCTCCCAATTCCATCCTTCCTAGTTTCCTTTGCTAATTATTTTCACTTCTTTCTACTCTTCAGTAAATTGTATGTCCTACCTTACACTTACTCCCTTATCATTTAAAATGTTGAAGGTCTTCAGTTGGTGGCACAGTCAACACTAAGTACAATTAAAAACCATTTAAGTAATAGTAACACATTTTCTCCCTCTCAAAAAATATGACTGCAGGATTTTATGATACTTGATTGTTTCTGTTGCAGGGAAGCTAGGTGGCACAGTAGATCTGGAGTCAGGACATAACTGAGTTTAAATCCTCCCTCAAACACTTGCTTGTGACCCTGAGCGAGTCACTTAACCTGTATGCTTCCGTTTCCTCATCTGTTAAATCTGTAAAAAACCTAATAGTAGCAACTACTCCCAGAATTATGGTGAGGATAAAATGAAGTAATATTTGTAACATGTTTGGCTAACCTCACAGTGTTATTAGCTATTATTATTGTTTCCTTTTAAATTAATTTTTTAAATGACTGATACAATATCTCTCAGTTTGAATGTTAATCTGTGGTCTTTGTCCTTTGGGAAACTTGGTAAATTTACCATTACAATGCTAGTTATATTATTTCCCATTTATGCAGCCATTCTTTTACTGCATGGTGGAGAATTTGAGACTTTTCTTTATTTCCTTGAAAGCTTTTTCTGAGAAGATTTTAAAAAAACAACAAAGCCTTAAGTTTTCCAAAATGGATTCTATTGGAATTTTTATAAGTACATGTGAGAGATTTTTTTCTAGCAGTCCTGCCAGACTTTTAAAGATACCTCTCTAAGTATAGAAGCGTAGACATTCTTTTCACACTTCAAATATGTGTACTTCCTAAGTGTCTATACATTTATGATTACTGTCATACCTAAATGTTTGTAGTCTGTTTGGCATTTAAAGGTCTTCATAATGTGGTCCCTTCCTTCTTCCCCTCCATACCCAGGTACATTGAGCTACCTTCTATTCTTTTAACATGACTCTCCATCATCTTCCTGCCTTTACCCTAACTATGTATTTTCCTATGCCTGGAATGCTCTTCATCCTCATCTCTACATTTTAGTTTTCCTGACTTTATTCAAGATTCAGCTCAAAAGTGACCTTCTAGAGGAGGCATTTCTTGGTCTCTCCAGGTGAACGTACCTTCTTCTTTGAGATTACATCCCATGTATTCTATATTTATCTTGTATGCATCTGGCTATTTACATGTTTTTTTCACCATTAGAAAATAAACTTTGTGGCAGGGACTTTTTTTGCCTTTCTTTGTATCCCTAGTGCTAACAGAGTTCCAGGGGTATGCTAAATGCTTAATAAAAGCTTTTTTATTAATTGATTTATTGATATATAACTTAAAATTTCCCTTGCTTTACATTTCCTTGAACATAATTATAAGTGTTTTTATTTTGATAATTTGTTTCATTTCAGTTAATCCTTTGACCTACGTGGGGCAAAAGCAGCTTCTCTAAAAATGAATGATAGTGTCTATAGGATATAAAAAATAATACATTTGATTAGTAAATATAGTCTATGGAAAAAAGTTGTGAAACTTTGTCTAACATGCTTGTAATATGCCACATAAAGAAACATTTTCTGATGAGAGTAAAAAATTAATAAACATTATCATAGATTAGAAAATTTGGTACCCTGTTATCTCATTAACTTATTGCCATTTGTTATTCCTAGTCATAATGTTAGCTGCAGAATTATTTGTAAAAATATTTAACTTTTCTGCTATACAATTTGATAGTGTGTTATTTTAGCATAGATAATTTAATATACTTTTTAACCTTTGATAGACCCAAGCATTTTATATGTTTTGAGAGTCATTTAATTTCATGTGTATATTCATGCTGACTGATTAGTGGAATTTCTTTACTTTCTAAGAAAGTTTGCATCCTATCAGCTGAGATTTGGTATTAAAATCAAACATTGTAAAGTGTTTTTTTTAATTTTCTAGAGCAGTTTTTAACTGTAAACTTGTCTACTAAAATATTTTGATAACTGTATTTCAGTATAATTGACTTCCTTTTATCATATTATCTATTTTACTGTATTCATTTAAAAACATTATTCTTAGAAGGAGTTCATAGTCTCTACCCGACAAAAATGTTTCTGACACAAAAAAAGGTTAAGAACGCCGGTTATAGAATGAATGACTAGTTACAAGTAATTCACAGAGTATTTGCCATAAGTCTCTACAATTATTCCTAATCTGTCTTTCCACTTAAAAGTCATAATATGTTATCATTCTTAAAATATTTTTCAGCTCTTTGTGTTAGTGTGTGTGTGTGTGTGTGTGTGTGTGTGTGTGTGTGTGTGTAAATATATAAATTTTCTTTGACCTTAAATTAAGGTAGTTGTGTTCATACCATTGTCCTTTTCTCTTTTGGAAAACAGTAGAGCTCATTGACTGTGATAATAGAATAATAAAAATGGAAAGAACTTACAGAGTTAATGTAATCTGTTGTTACTACTGTTTAAATAATCCTGTTCACATGGATATCTGTCTTACATTTGAAGATACCAGGGACATCTGTGGCCTATTCCATTGTTTGTAATGATCTCTGTCAGGAAGTGGCTCTTAATATCTAAGCTAATTTTCTCCTATTCAGTGTGAACATGTTTCCTTATCCCAAACTGAGACAAACTATTATTATTACATTTAGTAATACTAGTATTACAACTTTTAATTTTTCACAGGAGTGAAAAGAAGGTATCCTTTTCTTCCATTTCAGATTATCTCAATTCCCTCAATGTTTGTCAAGGTTCTTATTTTTCAGTAATGGTTTTATCTTTATTATTACCACCAAAATCTGTCAAAGTCAAACCCTGTGCTCAATGGGGCATTTCTCTTGTGGCCAAAAGAAGGAGATACTCATTTGGGGGTAGATAGCAATCCCCATAATTTCATTGTTATAGGAAACTGCTAATGAGAACCTTACTCTACTAATGCTGGTCGGCCTCCAGCTTCTTATCTTGGAGAACCTGCCTGGAGTGCTAAGAGTTTAAGTGACTTGCCCAGAATCACACAGGCAGGATGTGCTAGAAATTGGACTTGAACCTAGGGCTTTCTAGCCTTGAAGCTAGCTCTAGGCACTATGTCATGCAGTTTTTATTTTATATGTATTTGTGGTATCGATTTTTTAAAAAATAGAATTACATTTTAAATTCATGTTTATCATATAGTCTAAGATGGATACATAATTTTCAGTTTCACTTGTATATAATATCTGGCCCAAAGTCAGATTTTGTGAAAGTGTATGTTCTATAGGATTTTATGCACAACCCAACTTATTATATTTAATGTGACAATCAACCATATATCACCTTGGCAATAACTGGTAAATGTTAAGAATGAATCATGATGCCAAGTATTGGAAAGAAGACGAGACCTAGAGTCGGCAGAAACCTAAATTTTAGTTTTAGTTTATCAGTCTGCAGAGAATCGTAAATATAAAGCTGTAAGGAACCTTCACAGTCATATAGTCCTATCCCTTCATTTTACAAGTGAGGAAATTGAGTCCCAGCGTGGTTAATTGATTTGTTTAAGGTCTTAAAGCTATTAAATAACAGAATAGAGTTTCAAATTCAGGTTATCTAACCTTAACGCCTGTGTTTTTTACTTTTACATAGCACCTTGCTTTTATAGAGTAAATAATTAGTTTTGTGTGTGTGTGTGTATAAATTTTAATTTAAATTATAAATGCTAATATAACTTCTTCTCCTATCCAGAATACTCAAACAGTATGATCATCCTAATATTGTCAAGCTTATAGGAGTTTGCACACAAAGACAACCCATTTACATCATCATGGAGCTTATTCCAGGTAATTTTTTCTGTTTCCTGCTTTATAAGACATGTTTCAGCTTACATTTTAATGTCTTTCTTTCTTTTTTTTTTTTTTTTGGCTCTGTGATAAGTTGTCTTCATGAGTTTTCTTTGTTAAATGTTCAAGGACCTTAATTATAGTTATGTGGTATAGTGAGATTTAATACTTTTGCACAAAATATCCTTATACCTTACAAAGGTTATAGTGTTAGGAAGTGTCAACTGATAATGTTAACTACATATGTAACACATGTTAATCATGTGTGGTTTCACATTGAATTAAGTGACTCCATTAATTGGGAATTGGCTTTATTAATTATACTGTCATGACCAAAGAATGTATAGGAAAATATTCATCCTAAATTTAGGTTAGTTAGATTTGGATTTTCAAGGTGAAGCTAGAACTCCATCTTTTAATGCCGTCATTTCTATTTATGTATTTCTACCATTTAAGTCCTCTAAAAAAAATAATGGCTAAAAAGTTGTATATTTTTTGTTATTTCTACTGTAGATCATGACCCTTGCCAGTTCAGGTTAATTGGGCTAGTAATTTTTGCCAGCAGGTGGAGACAGCTTAAAACTGTTGTAACATGCACTTGAATTTCATTGTACTTCTGTCTATAATAGAGAATATATTCTTTATGATTAATATTTGTCATGGAAGCACTTAATATCATATACACCTGCATATCTGTATCTAGTGGTGGCGTTAACATAACAGAAATTGGATTATGTCAATCAGTAAATATTTATTATGCTATATGCCAGGCACTGTGCTAAGTTCTGAGGGTACAAAAAGAAGCAAAATTCAGTCTCTGCCCTCAAGGAGCTCACAATCTAATTTTTTTGCCACCATCATTTCTTTTTTTTGCTGTATTTGAAAAGAATACAAGCTAACAAATGAATATTTGTATTAGATGTATGTGTATGTATCTATGTATTGAGACAAAAATGTATATATCTGTATACTATATATTTTTCTCTATGTGTATATAAATCAAAAATAAAAGGTAGGAGAATAAAGTATTATATTAAATACTGTGTGCCAAAGTTGATATCCTGTGTAATTCTTAGACTATCTGAGAATTGTTGTACTCTTCATACTTTTACTTTAATTTCCATTTTAATGGAACCTCTTGATATGTCCTTTATTGTCACTGTATAATTTTTAACCCTAGGATTTCTACATCATTATCATCTTCAAGTAACATTGCACTACACTTGTTATAATACACATTTTTGTAATATAAGTAACATAAGGTTCATGCCCTAAATGATTTTGTAATCTAGTTGGGAGAAATTATGGATTAAAATAAATAAACCTCAGTAAACAGGTTGAATGGAATACGATATAAATAAAACAGTATATATGAAAAAAGTACAAATTAACATGCATGTATGTATATTACACACACAAAATAAGTTCAGATAGATGTCTTGCAATAGAGATAATAAATTTTAATTCTCAAACGAGTAAGTAGATTTTGCTGCTTTTCCTGAGGTATATAGAAAAGTAGATTTTGTTCTATATGTTGAGATGGTTGAAAAAAGAATTAACATAAGAGGTAAGTTTTTTGTTTTGTTTTACAAGAGAAAGTAAATAGTTTAAGGAATTTAAAATAGAATGTAATATGTTTTGTGGCTTAAAGGACAGGAGGTACATTGTAAGGTAAAAATGGTTGTGGTTTCTGGGGCAAGTGGCAAACTGCCATGAAGGATAAAGAACAAGACTTTGTATTCAGGTCATCGGGAGAGGCAGAGCACTACTGCAGGACTGAACAGCACTATTTTATAATATATATTATATGTAACAAATAGAGCAAATTGAACTGGGAAGAAGTTGGAGATATTAAATGCACTGAAGAAGAATATACATTATTCTAGTTATGGGTTAAGGAAATTTGAATATAGGAATAAAGAGGGAAAGCCTAAATAACATGTAAGTTAAGCTATATTTGCCGAAGCAGCACTTTGACACAAAAATATACTAAAGAGAATATATTCAAATACTGAAATGCATTTGTGATCTCATTAATGTATTATTTTCAGTGATGCATATCATAGCTCATTTGAGCCTGCCCATTCCATGTTACATTTGTCCCTGACTTCCCATAAGTTCACCACAGGATATTTACCCAGTATATCAATGGCCTGCTTTGCTTTCTCTTTACTTAACAAAAATAGCAGTGGAGCACATCAGCTGTCCATTGGTTATACCTCATGCTTGCCATGTAAACAGCCAATCTTTTCTCCTGCCAAAACATTTCTTTGATGAAATTCTTTGTTCTCTTTCATAATTATAGGATCATATACTTAGTACCTGATAGCACTTAGTGACCATCTCATTCAACTTATTATTTTAGAGAAGAAAAACTAGGGCTACACTTCACACAGGTAGAAGTAACAAAGCCAGAATTCAAAACTAGGCCCTTTGACTCCAAATCTAATGTTTTTGTTTGTGGCTTTTTCCCCCCATGGGACCATGCTACTTTGATTGTAATGTGTGGTAGCCAGTTTGTACTGTGCATGTGCTTTTCCATGATCTCTACCAAAAAGTTATTTAAAAAAATATTAGTAATTATCTACCACATACTTTCCTTCTCTATGTTGAGGTTTAGAGGTTTAGGGGTGCTGGGACCCCAAAATCACGACACATTGGTCCTACCTGAATAAATTCGACCCAAGCCTTCTTTCAGCTAAAGACAAGCTTTATTAAAGATCCGCCATATTGGCCAGACTCTTAAACAATCTGAACATTTGTGAGCTATTGGCTAGATTATAAGAATCTGAGCCTTTGGCTGGACTTTTAAAGAATCTGAGCCCCTTAATGGAGACAAGATGGACCTTATGGTCAGAAAGACCTTGGGAGGAATCTAGGAGTGGAGGAGGGGTCTCAGAGAATCTTGATGGGAGTGACTGGGAGGTAGAATGAGGTCTAGGTAGGATCAAGGGAAGTCACCTGGGCCATCAGGCCATAATAGACAATGGAGGGCTGGGCTAGGTTAAGGGTAACAGATTTGGGAGATTGGGTATAATGAAAGGCCAGTTGATAGGATTATAGCCTAAGGTGAAAGCCAGAGATTTTGGCTTTGTGGGAAAGTTCAAGATCTCTCCCCCTTGGGGTCCAGATCCCAAAGACATAGTCCCTTCCCTTTAGGGGTTCAGATCACATCCTCATCATCTGTAAGTCTTTATGAGAATGAGAGAGGGGTGTGTGTGTGTGTGTGTGTGTGTGTGTGTTGAGGGCATCAGAAGTCTCAGAAAAGAAGAAAAGAGCAGGCAGGTTTTAGCAAATTTTGCCTTAAAGTAAATCACGTCTTTATACGTTTGACTGAAAGAACAGAAATCCTTTATCCTTTGTTGACTATTTTAAAAGTATCCAATTCAGTAAAGCAAAATGCTACCTTAAAGCCTATCCTTCATCAGGCCATCTCCCATATGTTGAAATTGTGTGTCCTTGAAAGATTTGATAACTAAAATGTTTTGTTTGGTGACCTACTAATAATAAAACCTCTTCTTAACAAAACTCCCACAAGTTTTCTTCCCGTCACCTTGTCATCTAACAACCTTATCTCACATTTACTGAGAAAATAGAGGCTATTAGTCTGAAATTTCTTTTCATCTCAAAAATCTCTTGACAATATCTCCAACTCTTTCCTTATCAGGTCTCTGATAATGAGTGGTCCTTCTCCTTGCCAAGGCCAACCTTTCTATGTATGCCCTTGATCTCATCCTCTTTATCTGAATAATGTTCCTTTTCTAGGGTTTTGTGACATACCTTTCTTCTGCTTCCTCTCCTACCTTTCAGACCATTCCTTTCAAGTCTTCATTGCTCGCTCTTCATCTATGTAATGCTCTCTCACTCTGGGAGGTATTTCATCTTTCTACATTTTCTCTTGGTGATTTTCATTATCTCCCAAAGTTTTAAACATCATCTTTATGCAGATGATTCCCAGATTTATGTATATCTAGCCCTAATTCCTGGAGAGAAATTCAATATGAATTTCATTACTACATTATCAGTTACTCATTGGATAGTTACACCTGGCTGTCCCATTGACATTTTAGACTTTCACATGTTAAAAAAAAACAAAACTCATTACTTTTCTCACAAAACTCCTGAAATTCTTTATTTCTGTCCACACTACCACCATCCTTCTAGTCTTTTAAGTTCACAACCTCTCTGTTATGCTCAATTTTTTATACATCCTCACTGCACATATCTAATCAGTTGTCAGATTCTATCATTTTTACTCCTGCAACATCTCTACCAACTGTAATGTTCATATTACTCATATGACAATTGCCTTATGTGAGGCCCTTGTTAACCTTGTATGTGGATTATTATAATAGCCTGACTAATTGGTTTTCCATTGTAATAATTGCCTCCATAGACCTACCAAAGTGATTTTCCTTAAGTGCAGGACTAAGTCATGCTTCTGTACAATATACAACTACCTATTACTTAAAAGTTTTTTTTGTTATAGTCAGCCAAGATCTGTTTTCTAATACTACTCTTCCCTACCCCATTTTCCCACTACCACCCCTTACACCCCATCTCCCTTTCCCCATTGGGAACACAAGAAGAGCAAAATTGATTACAAACATATAGAGTCAAATTGAAATAAACTTTCACACTGGCCACATCCAAAAAAATATTTATCTCATTCTGCATTCTGAGTTCTACACCTCTCTTATTAGGAGGGTAGCACATTTTATCATTAGTTCTCTGGAATTCTGCTTTTTGCTTAGGACAGTACCTGGCCTACAGGAGGTAATTAATAAATGATGGTTAATTACGTGATAAAAACAGCCTCCATCTATCTCCTTTTAGCAAGTGAGTTTGAGCATTTGCAGACTAAGACAATTTTTAGACTTCCTTTTAGTTCTGCTATGGCAATTGATTTACATTAGTAAAACTTCAGTATAAAATTATTCTAATTGGTATTGATATAATTACCCAATTTACATTATCAGTAATTACTTTAAATAGGTCAG